ATAGTCTTGTGTTATACAGTTTTTATACGTAAACTGTTTATAAGAAAGACACAGAAACATATTGTAACAAATATTTATTGGTTTTATAAGAAAGACAGAAACATATTGTAACAAATGTTTATTATAAGAAAGACACAAAAATGTATCGTAACAAAATACTTTATTAATGCAATGTAACCAGTATTATGCATGTGAGTAGTAATGGAAAAATGTATTACCTTAATAGTGTGTTCTAGACTAAAAGGAGAAGGAGGCTGAGAAACCGTGCGAGGAGAAGAAAGATCAAGATAAAGAAGGCCTTTTATAGGAGATTGTTGAAGGGTTTAAAAGAGTTAAACTTGGATCCAGGACTAGGATTGGACAGTTTGTGCATATGACTTGATTGTGTAAGAGAGAGGTGTGACATGTAAATATATTATAAAATGTACATTGAAATGTATGGGGTTAGACTCTGGAAACTGGACCAGACTCTCCATTGTTTGATGTGAACTTCCATGTGAACTGCATTTATTGTACTAATTTTGTTAAACTGTCTGAAAGAAAAACTTTGGAAAACTCTATACAATAAAAATACCAAATAATAGATAAAAGAAGTTTGCCTGCCAAGAGTCTCTGCTTGCAGTAAAGAACTTAGCCACGGAGGGGTCTTTCTACTGGGGTGTAAGTATGAATTTGTGTACTTGATATCTAATGTAGAATTTGACCATCTTTACCTTACCTGAGAATAAACAAAAAAACGACAGTGGTACCCCTTTCGGGTTTTTTTTTTTCGGTGCTAAAAAATACGTTTCTCCAATCTTCTTGAAAATCTGGATTCTGATAGAGGACCATGGGACTTAGACCTGACTGCAAAAATGGGGGCTCTAGCCCCTCCCAGAGCTGAGATATTGAGATATTTATAATGGCATAAATGCTACGTGGGATCTAAATATCTCAGCTCTGGAAGAGTCTAGAGCCTCCATTTTGGCACTCAGGTCTAAGTCCCATGGCCCTCTATCAGAATCCAGAGTTTCAAGAAGATCAGAGAAACTCAAAATTTCGACCCCCTCCAGAAAAAAAAAACGACAGTGATACCCCTTTCGTTTTTTTTTTTTTTGGGTGCAAAAAAATAAGTTTCTCCAATCTTCTTGAAACTCTGGATTCTGATATTAGACCTGAGTGCAAAAATGGAGGCTCTAGACCCTTCCAGAGCTGAGTTATTGAGATCCAACATAGCATTTATGCCATTATAAATATCTCAATATCTTTTCTCTGGAAGGGGCTAGAGCCTCCATTTTTGCACTCAGGCCTAAGTCCCACGGCCCTCTATCAGAATCCAGAGTTTCAAGAAGATCAGAGAAATTCAAAATTTCAACCCCCCCAAAAAACGACAGTGGTACCACTTTCGATTTTTTTTGGTGCAAAAAAATAAGTTTCTCGAATCTTCTTGAAACTCTGGATTCTGATAGAGCGTCATGGGACTTAGACCTGAGTGCAAAAATGGGGGCTCTAGACCCTTCCAGAGCTGAGATATTGAGATCCCACATAGCATTTATGCCATTATAAATATCTCAATATCTCAGCTCTGGAAGGGGCTAGAGCCTCCATTTTTGATCAGAAGATGAGAGAAACTCAAAATTTCGAATTTTGTTGAGTTTTATATTAACTGTTTAAAAGTGGCATGATTTACCAGACTTCATTTCATTCAGCATGTTCACCTGCTGTCTTGATAAATGAACATGTACACACACACACACACACACACACACAAACATGTTTAGGTGTTTAAAGCAGTCACATTTATTGGCCTCTTCTATGCACATTTACTAAACAGCCAGACAAGCTGGCAAACGGTTTGAGACATTTTACAATGGGACTTTCCACAAAGTTTACTAAAAAATAAATACAAGACTCAAAAGTGTTGCACAGATCAAAAATATACAAAGGCTTATAATTAATGTAAACTTTGAAAACATTTTACATAAAAAAACACCCTGGAAACAATTTGAAAAGGTATTATATTTACAAATTTGTACAAAAAACATTAGTTGCTTGAAGACTTCAGTCTAGTACCAGGAGAGACGTCACATAACTGTGTGTTCAGTACAGTGTTTGTCCAACTCTGAAATCCTTTGGTACACAAATCTTTGCATGTTACCATTCACCAAGCATGCGTTAACAATATTAGATTTCTCATTACTGATTGTGTTAACTATTCCTGTTAAAATAGCCTCAGGTACAGCAAGAAACAATGTGAAAACCTTCACAAACATACTACATCAGTGCAAATTTTAAGGTTAGACTTTACAATGTTGGAATGGTAGCTTACAAAATCGTTTACCTCTGTCTTCGAGATGGATAGTGATGGAAGTCTTAAGATTGCTTAGATTTGTAGTTGTGTTTTTCCCTTTGTGGAACATCTTTACCTAAAGCTAGATAGTTGCGGGTAGGTGTTAGTGATCAACAGCACAAATAATTGGTCCTGTAAAAATGATCCAAAGACTGAATCTCACACCAATAGCAAGGTAAGTCGCAAAAACACCAGGCGGTCAATGGTACAAAGGAGAGAAATGCCAAATACACCACTGGACATCATTAGGTTTCAAAGGTTCATGAACACGGTAGCTTATGTCATTCGTATTTTTTTATATTATTTATAAGTGGTTTATTTTAATCTCTTTTAAAACCAGTGTTTTCCCAATAAAGCTTAACCTCTGAAAGAAAAAGTCCATAAATAAATCTGCAGGCATAAATGGATCAAAGCCCAATATTTCATAGACACTAGTTAACTCTTACGCTTTCGTACCGAAATGAAAAGCACGAAGGTGAGTCTTGGAAACAGTAGTGCAAATCCACGTTCAATCTTTTTTACAACCTCTCTTCTTTGATTCGCACCATTTTCAGCACATCCTCATACGCACGGATTTACCGATCCAGCAAAGAAATATTGTCTATATATGAGTCTCCTAGACGCAAAGCCCTCTCTGTCTCAGTCTGACTTGACTCTACATCTCTGTAGTCTTTCTTTGGATATTTTTGTGCTACTTGTTTTCCATCAGTGTCTAGAACGATACCCAACTTAGTCCTTCTAGTAACTTTCCTCATTGCCCTCTCAACATCGCAAACTCAAACCCAAAGCAAAAGCCGACTGACCAAAAGCACTTTCACTACACACTTCTACAAACTTCTACTTGTCCTTCTACACGTTATTCTGCCATAGTCCATTTTACTACATATAAATGTCTTTGAAAGAGATTGTCAACAGTGTTTCGATCTGATATATTAGGACAAAAACAGACGTACTGATGATGATGCAAAAAATGACGTACCAATATCAGTTTTATTGCATGCAGTTAAGTCGATCTATTAAAGTGAAATATATAAAAGCTACAACCACTGCGGTAGAGGCATAATTTCAAGTTGGCTGTAAAAAGCTTGCACAGTATTAGTCCTGCTTTGTGGGTCAGTGATCAATAATCAAAAACGTCACTTTACAATGAGCAGAATCATTAACATACATGAGAAACGATTGGTACGGTATTCACAGAATACATCTAGTGCCCGTGTTGTAGCCGTCGTTGTTTTTCTAAGATCAATTCATCGATATAGAAACAATGGGTTGATTTCTTTATTTTTTAAGAAATTTGCTTAAAAAATATAAATATTGAATGGAAGGGAAGAATCATCAAGTCTTCATGCAATTGCTTTAAAATGAGATCTTTCGATATCTTAAAAATGCCAAAAGGGACAATTTCCCAGATCGTAAATCTCATTAAAATACATCCTAAAAAAATCCTATTCTATTTGTAGATATTTATTTTTATGTCAATTGGCATTTTATACGATTTCTCAAAAATGTCTGATGTTTTCTCAGTACCAAAAGAAGTGCAAAATAGTGGTTGGCCATCAGGATAATCCAACTCGGCTACATCTCTCGCCCAAGATGATCCAGTTGCTGGCTAATTCAGAAGTACTTAGCCCATTTATGCTACAGCTATCTATACAAAAGGCCACTCTTTGATTGTCCCAAGCTGTTTGCCATAAACAGTATGTGTTTAAGGTACAAGAAAGATTTCCCTTCTTTTAACATCTTCTGGACCCATTTTCACAGTTACCCCTGTACAGTACTGTTTCTAGACAATGCTAAATGTCTGTGTGACAAAAAGCATCCATGAATGGTACACAAACAAAGCATTTAAATTAAATAAATGTGCTCATGGAAGTTATTGGAACACCACCACTGAAACCATCATCAGAATGATTTGCTCTTTTTGATACAAAAGGGTACTGACACTATGTAGTTTGCCTATGGTTTACGGTCCTCTTAAGAACAGATACTTCGAAAATATATAGTATGCCAAGAGCACAGCTTTATTGACTAAATGTCAAAGACTGTGTCTAGACTTAGTTGACGCTCAAATTCTAAGATGCATTTTTCAGGAGGAACGGTCATCATGTGGGCTTCCATCTGAGTTTTCCGTTTCCCCTTCTGATATGGCCTGCATGGGAGCGGTGTACAGCCGACTGCGTGTACTGTAGCGACTACTATTTGCAGCTGGTGGCATCCTTGACCGGCCTTGTCTAGATGAGGCAGATGTGGGAAAAGCTTTTGTGGAGAAGCCCTCGGAATACGATTTTGGAAAGGGGCTGTGGATTTGCTCATGATTTCCATCGGGAAACTGCTGTTGTAAAGGAGAAAGTGGCTCCTCAAGTGGTCTAGAACCCTCCATCAGGAGCTCACCAGGGCTTTTGGGCGCAATTGGGCTCTTTAGGATCTCAGTAGCTGACATGCGATAACTGGAGTCGGACCGACTTCCCTTTTTCAACAGCAGCAATTTGAACTCTTCATTTGAGGTACTGGATTTTTTGGCACTCCTATAAATTGGACCCGGGGTTCGCTGAGTTTGAATAGATGGACTTGCAGGCACGTTTGGGGTGCTTGGCGAAGTTGCAGGATTAGTTGCAGAGCCATTCCCAGCGACAATGGTTAAACGGCCCCGCACTGATTCTCCCGAATCTTTCCTGCCTAGCATTTTTCGTTTTGACCTAAGATGGAAACACACAAATAAGAGACGATAATAATTTTTTCCGGCTTTTCCGTGTTTTCACTGTTATACAGTAGGGGGCGCTATTGGGCATCTTCTGAAAGAGTACTAAATCTCCAGATCAAAACACAAGCGAAGATGAGCAGAAACAAGTGATAGCAAATCACTAGCATAAAATAGCGCAATCGTCAACAATAAACAGCATATAAAAACTGCCTAATGTTACCGCATAAAATGTCGACCCAGGATAAGCTATAGGACTGTGCAAGCATTAGTGGAGTTGATGGACATATATGTTTTGATCATCGGTCTGAATCCGATCAAGATGTAGTCAGCTTTTAGCTCGAAATGTTGCTTTTTTATCAAACTCTCCCACATTCAAGTGTTAATAAAAAAAAATAATACTTGGAGCTAGAATAAAACAGGTTGTATAAAAACAGAGGGTCTGTTTCTTTTCATAAATTGTAAGTTCAGATATTTATACAACAAAATATACTAAGGGCCATGCAACGTTTCATGAATATAAATATCTAAACTTACAATTCATCAAAAGAAACAAAAGCGCTGGTGGTGGCAAGCAACGTTTTTTCAAATACGCTGGAAGGAGTTTATATTTTTTCCTGATCACCAGCAATATACCAAACTTGAAACACACCTGTGAATCATGGCAAAGAGATCCTCTGTTGTGCGACTTTTACTTGGTGAAAGAAAAACGCTATCATCCTCAGATTTGGATTCGTCTGTCAGAGGGGACACTGTTGGATCGCTTGGTGTGGACTCTGAAATAGAAACTCTGAAACTCATTCCGATTCAAAATGTCTGAAATATTAAAGAAAATGGCAGCTAGTTTACCTAGTCATGCAAAGATTACAAAAACATACCTCTGCTAAAATAGTCTTCTGTGTCTGGTGTTGACCCTTCCTCTACATGTTCCTGTGAGGCACTTCTGGTTGGAACACCTGATGTTACAGATTCTTCTCCAGCACCGCTAATTGGAAAATCTTGCAATGACTCTGATCTTTGCTTGACAATATCAGGCACTTGGTCAAGAATTTCTGACCTCTTTCCTAGACCATTCTGACCAGGGCTTCCCTCGTTGGGCTCAGATCTCAAAGGCTGGTTTTGCTCTACGTCCAGACTACTCTGGGGAAAGAAACTATTTGAGGTGCTCACCTTTTCTGCAACTTCTCGAGAATTCCCCAATGTCAGTTCATCCAGGTTCTCCTCAGGCTGGGCCTTAAAAGCGGTCATGCTCCAAAGAGGGGATGGGGCCAATCGGTCATATCTATTTCTTGCACCAAAATGGCTTGCTATATTCTTACCAGCTAGTCCATCTACTGGGGTAAACAGTGATTCACAATTGTCCTGAGAGGAAGGTTCTGCGAGAAGAGGTCTATAGGGTGGAGGTTTCCTAGTTTCGTGGGGTTTATTGTGAGAAGGTGGGGTGATGATAGTCACAGTGGGGCACTTAGGCCTAGTGGCAGTATCAGTGCTAAGTCGATCGTAGCTCCCTTCTCCAGATTTGCCAACCGAACGTAGCTGAACTGAACGAAGAACTGTAGGAGTGATTGCCAACGGACTAGTGATTGCCAGCTCATCACTTGAAAGACTCTCCCGCTTGGTTTCTGCTGAAGCTGCTGCCTTGTGTTTACTCTGGTGCAGGACGTGCATCTGTTTTTTGTGAATCGAAGGCTTGCTGACATTGGGAAGGGCACTTAGGTTAAGGTGGGTGGGAGGAATGATAGGCAATTCAAGGTCCCTTTTGGATGAGAACTGCTGCAAAGAAGCAAGTGAGGACTTCCTTTCTGGGACTTTGGGTTTCCTCTTGCCACCAGGAGGGGACATTGGGTGAGTGTTCGGGAAGAAAGCCGATGGAAGAGAAGATGTCGGTGTCTCTGACTGGCTTGAGTAGCCACTGGAAGGTGATGCTAGACCCACCAGCTTTTCAGGTGAAGGCAATCTAAACTCGCTTTCCACCGATGGTAGTGAAGGAGTGGTGGCCCTCGATCCTGACTGGGAAGTCTGGGATTCTGAGCTCTCCTGTGATTTAATGCATTCAATGACAGTGGTACCCGTAGCTGTGCTGGAGTTTGACAATGATCTGTAAGGATCATTGGATTTCAAGTCATTAAGAAGCCAGAGATCTGCATAGTCTGACTGGACAGCTCCCTCATCCTTAAAGGAATGTGTTTCTGTGGAGCCAAACAAAGCAACTTCTGGAATCTCTGTTGAACTCTCAACACCCCAAGCCCCGAGTGGCTCCTCACTCTCCAGCTGACTCGAGGAGTCTCCGTTTAATCCCACATGCCGAGTTCTCTCCCGGGAAGACGTTGATTTGTTCTGACCACCAGCAATCTTTGGTTCGTTCTTGTTAGTGGGAGGTCCAACGTGGCTGCTTATTGTCCTCAAGGATGAGCTACGTTTTGGCGGGGATGGCTTCACCTTTGGTTTCCTTAGAGAGAGACTATTTCTCCCAAGTGTGTTTGTTTGATGTCCATATTCTGCCTGCTGCTGGTCTACAGATGCATAGTTATAAGTGAAGCTTTTGCTACCTTTAAGACCACAGTCAAAGTGCATGGAGGTATAGTAGCCCTCTGCATCTACAGAATAGTGTGAGGCGGTGTCTGCTTTTTCAGAAGGTGGCCTTTCTGTTAAACTTTCAAAAGTGGCTATGCTAGCAAAACTGGGACATTCTAGGATGTTCTCCGCCCTAGAGTGCTCAGGACTGAAGTCAGGCTGGCAAGGCATGTTGTGCCTGTAGAGGGGATAGCTCCACTCACCCTCACTGGCGGTGCTGACTCCAGCATCATCAAGCATGTCAGTTGCAGTGGAAGTGAATGAACCTGTCCTATGGCTACGGAGGCCTTGCGATCGGTCTCCATGATAAGGATCAATAATGAAGCCTGTGGAATCATCGTTAGTATTAGTAGCTGCGTTCAATGATAGCTCTGAATCACAGTGGGATGATCCGGTGAGTGGGGGTGAGGCTGCAGGTGGAATGGTCTCTGAAGTCTGGGAGGGACATGTAGAGCTACTACCACTCCAGTTGCCACTCGAGGACTGGTGATCTTCCTTGTGGTCCATCTGGCTAGTCAGCACACCAGCGTTGGAAACGGAGTGAATGGGACTACTGAACGTATCGGAGCTTGACGAAATCTCACAGCTACCCATGTCAGCTTTACGAGGCAGACGGGATCGACCCCTCTCCATCCAGTCATGCTCTGCAGTTCCAGCATGTTGCTTGAATTTCAAATCCTCTGGGATTGCCTGGTCATCAGTGCTTTCTTCATCATCTTTTAGAATATGTTCCCCTGGGACTGGTAGGAAGTCCTCAGCCTCAAATGGGGACAGTTCTTCCTCATCATCATCATCCTCATCACTCTCCTCATGACCTTCATCCACCAGTCGCCCTCCCTCACGCGGGAGGCTTCGGGAACGCAGACGGGAGCCTACTGAGGCGGTGAACATTGTGTCAGAGTTGTCAGGCAGAGAAGATATGTTCCCTGTGGAATGGGACAGTGACACAGTCACGCCCTGCCCCCTTTGTGCTCTGATCCGTCTACGTGAGGGTGCAGCCCCAACAATCAGCAGTTCTTCTGTCTGGCAACCAGAGTCCTTAGTGTTGAGGCGAGAAAGCGTGAGATCCTCTTGGCAAAGTTCAGGGTTGGTGTGGACTATCACAGTGCGTTCTCTGGCCACTGGAGACTCGTCAGAATCTTAAAAGGTGATGCAAGAGGTTTTATTTTTGTGATATTTACTAATCATCACATTTAAATACAATTAATAAACAAGTAACGAAAACAAAAAGAGTGATAGGAGAATGCTTCACACACCCAAATCCTGCTGCACTCTTCTGGGAATGCCAGTGATGGTTTTCCGTCTCCTAAGCTTCCTCCGCCGTTGAAGAACTGACTGCGAATGGACTAGTGAGCAGCGCACACTGGCCTCTCTGTCGAACCCAACCCCTGCAAAGAGCAACAGACATGTGAGAGGGTGTTGGGAGCAAGCCACTTTTTTTTTTTTTGCCTCTCCATACCATGTTTCTCACACTCGTTTTTTTAAGCTATAATACTAATATTAAAAGAACACAATTATAAATTAATATAATTATTTCTTGAATATATTTAACATATTATACATTTGATACTTTTTATGTTTCTAATATTTTACAGTACTTTAACATATCACATTTAATAAAATCATCATTATGCAAGTTTAAAATCTCAGAAGAAAAAAATGCATGTATTATAAAATCATAAATGTAACAAAAAAAAGATGGTTTCAGTCATGTTAAAATATTTTAACTGACACAAAAATACATCAGACAACAATACGCAATGCCATGCAAGGTGAAAGGAGCGACATATTCAGGACGTCAGAACAGAAAACAACCAGGGTTGAAAATGGGAGTTTATCTGTCCTACCCGACCCCAGCCTTACTCTCTAGTCTAGACTGCAGCCTGCTGCCGTTCTCTTTATTTGAAGCTTTATTTGTTTTTATGTTTGTCCAGTGTCATGCATCATGACTCTCATGTGATTGCAGGCTTGGCCCTTTGAGCACCAATTACACCACTGCGCCTGTGATGTGCAATTTCCAGTCGACACTGTCTTTGATTCAATCCATGCTGACACGCACTGCAAAAGTCCTGTTCCAGTCAAGCCTGGAGTAGATATATTCGGCCTCTTTGTAATTCTAATGCAACTGATTAGCATGCACAAAACGCTTTCTTGACTCTTTGCATTATCTGGCACAAAGAACGTAACCAAGACAACTAAGAACTTTTTTGTTTCAAATTTTATGACTTGCAGATTTTAGCCTACTTTCCAGTGTGTCTAATTTTAATGTATTTGGGTGATCCTTCCATTTGGGCACTTGGGATGAAACCATGTTTCATCTATGTTCAAACATTTATCACATGCCATGGAATAAAGAAGACCTGATCATGGCCTTGTTTAACCTTCAACTAGCAAATTGTCTAAAAGTCTAAGAATATTTTTTACGCTTTTAAAACAGAATGAGGTTTTAAAAGTTCCCCTAACTGAAAAAGTCACCCGTTTACTATATCCATCTATGTTTCAAACTACTAACCTTTTATTAGTTAAATTAATGGCCACTTAACGCCAACTTAAACAGCTAGTAATGTGAACAATCAATTTCCATAACTGCTTTTTGCATCAAATTAAGAAGAAACAGCAAAAATTTGAGTTTTTAAAAAGCTAAGATGCCAACCCCTTCTCTATCTCTCTCCACATGTTGTTCTAAATGGTGATGGTCAGGGAATGAAGTGGCACTGAGACTGAAGAGGGAAACTTAATGGACATGTAAAAGATCTCTCACTTAGCAAAGCTGATATCGCTGAGGGGGAAGTAGCGTTGGCGCCCTCCTCTGAAAACAATACACGCAAAATTCAGCGTTCTCTTCTCACAAGGTGATCTTTCTCTTCATTGATGCCAGAAGAGAACTTTGGTCAAGATGTTCATGTTTTCATATGCATTTAGTTATGAGATTCAACATATACTGTTCCTGAGTTGAGTTATGCTAGCACTAGCAAAACTATAGGCAGGTAAAAGCCAATATCTGATAAAGGGATTAAGAAAGGACCAAGTGAACCCCAACTACGAGTGTGAACACACCCTTGATCAAGAATTGGCAAAAAAGCTCCTGGCATTATATGTTATTATCATTGCTCTTTACATGCTAAATTTGCACACTTTTACAACATCACTAGATCCTAATGGACCAAAGTTCTCCTTCAGTCGTGACAACTTCACCAGACTTTTCTTTAATTTAAACTATTCCTATGAACAACCATTTAAGTGTCAGACTAAGTTCTGACTCAGCATGCATTATCACCAGCTAACACTAGAGGCATTTACCTGTTACGTTAATGGGAACGATGCATGAGGTGATGACTCGAGACTCCGTCTTCATCTTCTCTTCTGGGGTGGGTAATGGTAAGATTCCAGCCCAGTTTGTCTGTTTGTCCAGCGTTGAGGGCACGTTTGGGATCGGGCACTTCGGCCAGTGGCCCAGAGCCCCTGCCTCTGAATCCGAATCGACTGAAGGAGCAACCTAGAATGACATCACGGCAAAGAATATCAGAATGAGGTTTCTGTGGTTGAATATCAAATGAATGATGTTGAACTTCAAGACCCCATGAATTCACTTGATTAGAGCAGTTAAATGATTAGTTCGCCCAAAAATGTTCTTCAAAACCGTAAGACTTTGTCATTTTCAGAACACAAATGAAGATCTTTCAATAAAATCTGAGAGCTTTCTGTCCCTCCATTTACAGCCTATGCAACTACCACTTTCAGAACCCAGAAAGGTAGTAAATACATTTTTACAATAATCCATGTGACACCAGTGGTTTAACCTAAATTTTATGAAGCAACGCAAGTCCTTTGCGCAAAAAAACCCACTTTATTTACAAAACATTAATCTCCCATGCGTGTTAGAGTGGACGTTGTTGCATGAACCCACGTTGGAGATTAATATTTTGGTAAATTGTGTTTTTTTTGGGCAAAACAAAGCACTCGCGTCACTTCATAAAATTGAGGTTAAACCACCGGTGTCACATGGATTACTTAAAATACGTCTTTACTACCTTTCAGGGGCTTGAAAGTGGTAGTTGCTTAGGCTGTCAATGGAGGCACAGAAAGCTCTCAGATTTCAGCAAAAGAACTTCATTTGGGTTCTGAAGATGAAGTAATTATTTTTTAATAAATGAATCAGAATTTTAATTGTTGGGTGAACTAACCCTTTAAATGTTCCTATGACGTATTTCCCAATAAAACAAGTTGGACTTTTTAAAAAAGTTTTCTTTTAAATGGCCAATTGTCTTTATTTATATCATTCATAATCTGCTAGCGACTTTTTGCTAGTCAGTGGCTATAGCAATATTTAAAATTTAGATACTTTTGCTCCATATCTCCTGGAAATTAAAACTAATATTTTTTGTTTATCTGCTAAAAATTAACCTTTAACTTGTAGAATGCTTCAATGCTAACCGACATACACTAAAAGCGACAAAAATCCTATTTTGATTTCATGAAGTCATGGGAAACAACACTTGTAGAACATTTCGATTTTTTGTTACAAAAGCTACATGCACATGCATAAAGAAGCATTGACACATGCAAATGACAATGAAGATGCTAAGATATAAGAAAGATATAAGAAATTAAACAACCCAGGATACATATCTACATGAAGCATGCAACACAACACTTCAATGTTCAATACCCCCTTTTCTAACTGTCATCCACTGCACCAGCTGAAGTACACTTACTAAATCCTGTCAGATAGTTAACTTTGCAGCTAATCTAATGAGTTAAAGCTACTGTACAAACTTACCTTGTGAAGTTTACAGAGCGTTAAAAGGTTTGAAATGTTTAGGGCTGTCAATGTGCAGTGTTAAAGAGAGCTGTGATATCAAGTCTACGTGTTTCGCTTTCCCAGCCGCCCAATGAGGATTCTCACAATAAACAGCAGCCAAAAAAAAGTGTTACCACGGAAACTTCTCCCAAAACCATAGGCGGAGGAGGAGGAAAAGAAAGAGGGAAGAGGCACAAAAACAGACGGACAGAATCAAAGGGAGTTTATGGCCTTTTTGTTTGCCGGCGCTGAAATGAGGGGCAAGGGGTGAAGTGGAGTATTGGAAAGCACGGGATCAAAGCAGAAAAAAGAAAAGGGTATGGAGCCAAAATGAGCAGGAGAAGAGGGAAAGTAGGGGGCTGGGAATGAGCCAAATGTGACGGTTTGATTTCTCCATCTGGCTTGCGTTCAAAGGGCTATTTTGATTAGAAAAGAAACGAGACATCAGGGGAATGAAAGAATGCCATTCATGAAATTCGAAACCAGAAAAAGAAAGATGGGACGCGAGGAAACTTGAGAAACTGAAAGTTATAGTACGTCTACAAGACCTACAGTGCTTACACACCATGCATCATCACACACCCTTCACCATACCTAGAGATCGGCATGGGGTACTTTCCATAAGATCATCTCTCAAGGCAAATCAAACCAGCTATTAGGCTAACAGAAGTAAAACCATGCCGATCTCTAGGTGTGGTGAAGGGTAGGTGCTGATATGGGGATATTTTAATACCAAAGGCCTGGGAACTGGCCAAAGGAAATACTGAAATAACTGGCCTTTAAAAAATAATGACGCAATGGGAATTTAACATAGGGGTGTCCTGACTTATGCCCCGTGAATCTTAAGGAAGAAAATTTATTTATTTACGATACATTATAAATTTGCAAAGAAAATTGGTGTCCTTAAAGGTTTCTCTGTTCTGTGACGCACGTTCGTGACTCTCATCAAAATGAACGAATCTTTTTCCGAGTCATTTAGTTCATTCAACGAAAAAAACGGACGTAATGACTTGGAAAAAGATTCGCTCATTTTGATGAACGTGTTCGAACAGGAGAGTCACGAACACGCGTCACGAAACAGAGCAAGGCGAGCATTTGAGCTTATAAAACTTAAATTTGTTATTTATTTATTAAATTAGCGATAGTTTCGCTTGATAAGACCCTTAATCATCGTCTGGAATAGTTTAAAGCCCTTTGAACAGTTTGTAGTTTGTACTGGACCTTGAGCCGTTTGGTCCCCATTGAAGTCCATTATATGGAGAAAAATGCTGGAATGTTTTCATCAAAAACCTTAATTTCTTTTCGACTGACGAAAGAAAGACATGGACATCTTGGATGACATGGGGGTGAGTAAATTATCAGCAAAAGTTTTTTCAAAAGTGAACAACTCCTTTCAGTGATTCACATGATTCTTCAGAAATCATTCCAATATGATGATTTGATGCTCAAATATTTTTTGGATTCGTCGATCAGGGTCAGTTTATTATTTTTATCATTCGACTTATGAAGCATACATTATATTGCAGTTCCACGTTACCAGCCTGTAGATCAAACTGACACGTCATAGACGGTAACTTAAGGAACAAAGCCTTTTTTTACTTGCATTTATTTTGGATGCTGCATATGCTTTAAGATTGATCAAAAAAGACGGATGTGAATCAAAGACAAAATTTCAAAAGATGGAGTGCTTCTGTTCTCTTGTTCACTCTCTAAAGCATCTATGTTGGAGTCAGGCACTCAGGCAGGGGTTTGTGGGTAAGCCACAGTGTGGGGAGTTGATGGGCAATTATATTTTTCTGCCACACACACACACACACACACACACACACACACGCAGTCAGGCAGCAGCTCTACACTGGAAACCCTGTCATTAGGAAACCTCAGACTAGCGTGTGTGTGTGTGTGTGCATCCCAGAAGACATTCCTCACATACTGTTTTTCTGGCGCATAATGCTTGAGAGGGTATGAGAAGGACAATATTTTATTAGTCAGTGCACACTTTTATTTATACAGCATTACTAGCAGGGCTTGACATGAACTTTTTTTGTGGCTTGAGGTTTCCAAAGTTACTTGCCACTCAGCATTTTCACTAGCCACAATTTTGACATTGATACCATGGGGAAAGACTGCCATTTAGATATTATTAATATTATCGCATAATTTGGCAGCAGGTATATTAGGCTCCTGTCACTTTAAGACCTGACGCACAGATCCATTATACTGTTACACATGCGTTTCTTTCTCAACTGTTTATGTTCACTTAACATCACTGACTTTGTCAAATCTGTATTTTTTTACAACATTACATTGCACTCAGTGTATTATTTCAGATGCCTTTTTATAAGACTGAAATGTATATATTGTATATAAAATGAAAATAAAGTGTCTAAAGTGTCTAGTAGAAGTGACTGCATGAAATGGCAGGAATTCATGTCAATCTTGATTACTTGTTTTATAACAGGGTTATAATGCCTTTGTAGTACAGAAACTGTAGATACAGTATATAATAAAGGTAATTCAAAAACATTCAGAAGTGCAAAAATATAATTAGATTTTTTTAATGATTTTATTTGGCCAATTATCTAAAAAGTACATTTATTGTGTAATTTTATTTATTTTTTGTGAATTATTTACAGCTACTTCTAAATTAAATTGTTTTACAGCCATAATTGTAAACATTGAGATGTGTTATATTATGAACTGAAGTCAACTGAAGTATTTGACATAAATGGATAAAAAGATGATGAGTGCTTTTACAAAATATGCTTTGGAAAAATACACTTGGCGGCAGTTGAAATAAGTGTTTTCTGCGCACCAAGGCTGCGTTTATGTGATCAAAATCAGTATGAATTATTATTACAATTAAAAATTGTATTTCTATTTTGAGTGTGATCATTATTCCAGTCTTCAGTGTCACATGATCCTTCAGAAATCACTTTAATATGATGATTTGTTGCAGAAACATTTCTTATAATCAATGCTGAAAACAGTTGTGCTGCTTCATATTTTTGTAAAATGCATACAAAAATAAGTTTCGGACACTAGAATACACACATTTTCTTTCATTCAGACCTGCACACACATGCACAGAAGATGTTAATCGATCCAGATGTTAGGTCAGGCGTTCTGAACTACAGGTATAGCATCAGAAGAGAAGTTTTAAAGAACGAACCATGTTAAGATTTGGTTAAATTCAGAAGCGAATGATATCTGAATAAACATCAATATTGTTAAAGTTCTGAGTTTTGGCCTCATGATTCTGATTTGATTAGGGATGTAAAACAGAGTGAAAGTAGGATTTAGGAGACATTCGGTTGTAAAATACCTTTCTGCTCCATGGGGAAAAATGACAACACTCAGTAGGGGAGGAGGACCGGGTGCTTTGGAACTACAACACACATAAACAAACACAAAGATGGACATGAATATAAGGATGAACATGAACACATAAATGTACACAATGAGGGAATTGTCTGGTGCAGGTACTTCTGCGTGAATGTGTCATGTCAGTCTTATGCACACCCCTTACCGCTTCGTCTGAAGATTGTATTTAGGCTCACACAATTCTTAAATTCTTAAAATCATAAACTTTTGTTGGTAATAGCTTATTAACTGCAACAATCCAAAGGAAAAATCCCATAGCGTTTTAGTCATGGAAAACGGTGATATACAAAAAAATATCAGCACTCTATAGACCCAAAGCGATCAGCAATATGTTGTCACTTGTCATGACAATGAAAAAACAAGTCAAGTGAACATGAACAAGATGGAATCATGTGTTTTCATCTGATGGTTAGATTACAGTGTGATAAGTAAAGATACACATAATCCAACACAGCTGACCGAACGTCTGTTAGCAGCCTAAAACATCCTAAAAGAAATAGTGTTGTTATCATACACTGTTAAACAAAGAAACGAATGTTGTTTGTCCTCACGGCTGCGCGGTTGGCTGCAAAAGAGGAGTTATTTTCATAATGACCGGCCTGGTATACATATAACGTCCTTACAGCACGACATCCAGAGAGATGCTCCCTGCTTTCGGATCAGCTGGATCAAAATAAACATTCAATTAAAATGACCAAATGAACTGGCAACTTGGCTAATATAGTTATTTAGCCAGGTTGCATAGTTATTTACTATACCTGGTTTATATAGTAACCACAAGTGATCTGAGGGCGCGGGTGCTTTGTGGCTGTGGTTACAAGAGGTAAAAATGATATAAATACTGTTCGTTTTCTCACACAAACCGCTCGTTTCGTGTCTTAGGCCATCAATGTGTACTTACATTTACGAGTCATTAAATCATGTTTAATTTGGACTTCTCTGTGCATGCTCTTTGAGGTGGTGACCATAGACCTCCATTATATGACTGAGAGACAAGAACGGTTTGACCTAAAAATATCAAAATTTTAACTACTGTGGAAACAAATACGCCCTTGAGGTAAGCTAAAACATGCCAAAAATACATTTCAAAGTGAACTATCCCTTTAAGACCAGCATTTTAACATTATTTTGTGTGTGTATTTGACTGTATAAGCGCAATATGCTGTAAAAAAGAAAACAATTCAGTACTGAGAGACGTGTTTATGTGAGTGTGAGCACAAAATCTGCGGGAACGAGTCAAATTATCCACAATACGCGAAAACCCACCGAAATTAAGCACTGCAACACCAACAATGTTCATCCGGAGCAAATGAAACGAGCGAGTGAGGGGAGGCGGGTTTGTGTGTAATTCGCTGTCGGGAGAGACGAGAGAGAGAGAAAGCGCAGCTGTTGTCGTGTATCTATGGAAAATGAGTATTGGAAGAGTTCTAGATATATTTCAGTATCTATATTTTTGACAAAAATTTGTATACTATATAGCCTATATATTTCAAACTGCCGAGGTGTAGTAGGAGGGACTGCGTTACACTGCTGAAATCTGCTCTGAAAGCAGGGTTCGGTAATGTTTCTGAGACCATTTTGGTATTATATGAAGGTGGATTGAAATAAGTATTTAATTTCAAAGTATTTCATACTTTGACTCACATGTCTCACAATAAGCACTAAATAAGCATACTAAATAGTTTATCACAAGGGTATACACATACACAAATAAAGGACAACAATGGTGGACTGATTGATCTAAAACAAAATATCTCCATGCAGTGCAGCGTGTCGGTTTAGCGTGACACACATGCGTGTGTTTACCTGTGTTTGTGTTGTCTGAGTTTCTATGTCTCTCTCTGTCCTTTCCTAAACACACAGACACACTATCATTATCATGATCACACCGTCTACAAGCAGTCCCACTATAGACCGGGTCTGCAGTAACGGCACATGTTTACCGTGGTCAGGTGTCTCTCTCTCTGCTGCCGTGTCCTGTGGGCGCGGGGCGACGGGTAACTGGGCATGATGGGCGGAGCCATGGAGATGGAGATGGTGACCCTCCGCTGCCTCTCGCTGACCTCCTGCCTCTGCTGCTGGTCTGATGATGTGCAGTTACACAAACACAAGGCAAATCCATCAGTCAATTATATCAACAAGAGGAATAATAATGTCTGGAACACAGATAGTGAGGTATATACACTCTGAAGTGTAATACTTAGAGTTAGGAGTTTGTTCAAATGAGCAATAAAATAACAGTGATACTTGCAACACAAGCACCACTAGTAATTACAAATAGAAATGAAATCGTAATTCACACGTTTGAAATAATCATGATGTTTGGCATTTGTCCTTTTTCAGTTGTTTTAAAGGTGCATTGTGTAATATTTAGGAGGATCTGTTGACAGAAATGCAATATAATGCACATACCTGTTTTCAGTGGTGTATAAAGACCTTACATAATGAACCGTTATGTTTTTATACCTTAGAATGAGCCATTTCTATCTATACACCACGGGTCCACATTCATTGAAATGCGGCGTCATGTTTCTACGGGAGCCCTAAACGAACAAACGCTATGTTGAAGAAGCTAGCTAAAGTCAGCGGAGAAAACACTGACACAATGATGAACAAGTAACAATAACATATCATTTTACTGAATAATTAAGTTAACCTAATTTCTTAATTTATCTTTTTAAAGAAACCTCGTTGTTTAACATCTTTTCCTGTCGGCCACCGTATGTAACTTCGGTTGGGTTGCAATTCGCCACCTCACAACTAGATGTCGCACACTGCACCTTTAACTTTGCTCTTTTTATTGATACTAGTCCAATGCCCGTGCAAAATAAGTTTTTGTGTGTTTTTAGTAATTGTTGGTTTGGTATGTTTGAGTTGCTTAATAGCCTAGGCCACTATTACACAGGAGTTTAAACTCTGAGAAAATTATAACGTTAAGCGCACCAGAATATAATTTTCAGGATTAAACAGCTGACTTATAGATTCAGTTAAATCGCTACTTTTTCAAAAATTAGTTTCAAGAAAATATTAGTTGCCTTCGAAAAGTTTAAGTACTAAAATTACTAAAACTGAAATAAAATAAATTATATATACACAAATACTTAGAAAAACTAATACAAATTACAAGATCACTTAATAAAATTACAATAACTTTAACTAAAATTAAAACTAAAAATACTATCTTGTTAAAGTTATGTTATTGTTAACCTAAACTTAAACAACTATTAATAACATACTTTTTAAAAATTGAAATACAGCTGAAATCAAATAATATATATAAATATTCGATGGAAAACTTAACCAAAAATTTTAAATGCTGCCTTGGCTAGTAATTGAAAAAAAAAAAAAAACAGTTAAAAAAAAGCACTAAAATTAGTAAAACTAAAACTGAAACAAACTAAAAATTCAATCTACATAGAGATACTTCAAAATAAACTTAAAACGGAAAATTCTAAATATTTACAAATACTATACTATATAAATGTTTGTAAACTGGGACGTTTCCATCTTCCTCCACTAGAGGGCGGTCGGTGTCTGAATGGAGGATTATGAATGACCCAAACAACTTTGCTTAGATGAGATGTGATTGAGAAGGTGTTCTCAGGATGAAGGAATAAATATGATGATTGATCATGGAGCGGTAGTGATTAGTAAAGGTCTCTAACCTCTGTACAGCGCCCGCAGGCTCTGCTTGGCATGTCGATGCAGCTCTTGGACGCAGGCGGGCCGGGTCGAGGGCAGGAACACGTTCCTCTGCAGGAGCCAAGGGGCCTGGTAGTGTCCACTCAGCTTACTCTCAATGTCCAGATTAGACAGCGCTGCAGAGAGAACCACAAACAAAGACATTATTCACACATTAGTGGCCATGTGTTTATGTTGACAGTAACATACTGCATTAATTTGAGGGTGTTTACAACTTAATTACCGTAAAAAATGTCAGGAAAAGGGAAATACAAGGTAGCTTCCTTTTTAAAAATGTGATTTCTGTACCTCCACTATATTGTTAGATGGGCTTCATTACACATTCTCTTGACTTTATAAGATTCCCAGAGACAGTCAGTCACGCTGTAAAAAATAATCCTGTAAAAAACGGTAAACTACTGGCAGCTGTGGTTGCCAGCATCATACCGTAACTATACGGTGTGTTACTGTTTTTGTGTTCGAGCATACAGCTGTTAAATTAACGTGTTATACTGTAGCTGACAATACAGTATTTAACTGTTTAGTTTCAAAAACAGTAACACACCGTATTTTTACAGTATGATGCTGGCAACCACAGCTGCCAGTAGTTTACCGTTTTTTTTTTACAGGATTATTTTGCACTGATTGAGAGCTTTAACTCTTAACATTGCTTATAAACCTCCTCTAATCACTTCCTCAAACACTCTCAGAGAAGCTACAACCGGTGTGAAGTGCAAATAACCTCAAATACCCAAACAATGCTGCGATCTGCCAGTGGCTAATGGATCAGTGTGTGAGAAACAAAAGGATTTAATGGAGCCAAACACCCTCATTCATGAGCCTAAAGCAAACATAAGCAGGCTACAGTGGCACAGCGTATTTCAAACTAGATCTGCACCTAAAATCAGATCTACTTTGTGCAATATCACACATGATAATATTACATTCATATACAGACAGACATTCATCCTATGTAGAATTTTTTTAAGCACTTGCAAAGTACAAAATAAGTACCTATACTCAAGAGTATGCGATTGCAGACGCAGCCCATAACTATAGTATTGGGATGCAGATCCGATCCCGTTAGGCCTGGCTGGTAAAGGCCATACGGGGGCTAAAACCATCTCTCTTTCCATTGACAGACATTCAAAATGAGCTGATTCAGACTAAACCATTTGTATGAAATGTATAAATCACAAATATTATAATATTACTTAATTCTTGTTCGCATGCTCATAAAAACAAGAAATAGACATAATAGATATTTTTCATGCAAACACACACACGAACGCCTCAGTTCTGAATAGACACAGAGGGTCTGTCTGACTGGGATGCTGCCGGCAGTGTTGGCTGTAATCCGAGTGAATAGACGTTCAGCTCCTCTATATGAGACGTTCCTGTCACCAGCATTAATGCAGAGCAATCTAGGTCACAAACTCAATAGAGCACAACTCTGTATCTGTTATCTGTGTGTGTGTCCTATGTCTGACACGCAAACACATATTTTGCACAGCAAAATTACCTCATGATGCAAATAACAATAAAATGTGCTTTCTATAGTCTACAAGGGTCAATTTTGTTAATATTAATAATAAAGTAAAATTAGCTTTGCAACGTTCTATGGTGACATTGCATTAATTAAAAATATCCCTTTTTTAATAAAAACATATTTTACTTGGCAGAGGAACATTTACATTTAAATGTATGCATTTTCTGAATGTTTTTTTTTTATTTTTTAAATGGGTTAAGTTTCATGACTCATCAGTTTTATTTATTATATGTCATCATTTTCAACATGGATAACAATCAGAAATGTTTCTCGAGCATCAAATCATCATATTAGAGTGATTTCTGAAGGATCATGCGACGCAGAAGACTGGAGTAATGATGCTGAAAATTCAGCTTTGATCACAGGAATAAATTATATTTCATAATATATTGACTTTGAAAACTGTTCTTTTCATTTTTAATAATATTTCACAATTTGGTCAAATAAATTCTGCCTTGGTGAGCATAAGAGACCTCTATCAAAAACATTAAAAACTGTTCTGATTCCCAACTTTCAAACAGTAAGATTAAGAGCAATTTTCACTATTTAAAAGTTTGTCCCCAAATTATGTTTAAACATACTGTTTATTATCCCAAAAATAAATAATTAAAATCTTTAAAGATGATCCACTGCTACAGAATCATGCAGAGTGATCTTGACATGACCAGAGCCCTCTTCCGAGATAATGCATCATGGACCTTGTGTTTACCAGACGAAAGGCGTCTGCATTTCCGGGCCGTTCCTGCTCTGTGTCGTCCTGGATTTGGCTTTCAGCTGTTCTGCAGACCACCTCTGCCATCCCATACCCCGCTCTCCTTTGTAGTTATGCCAGATTATTCCTCTCATTTCTGATTTCTCCCATCTGGGACTAGATTCAAAGGTTTCATTTCAGGAGAGTATCTGTCTGGAAGCGAGCAGGACCGGTGTCCTGGGCCAGTTCTGAGTCTGGATCAAAGACTTTTCACATGTGAAGATGAACCGGGCCTTAGATGTAATAGCTGCCTTTCACTCTGAAAAATAACACTTCCAAAATCCGATTTCACAGCATTATGTCAGGAGAAGCTGTGGTTCAGAGAAAGAGGAACTTAAAGGGATACTTCACCTCTGGAAAGATGAATGTGTATTTAAAATGGGTAATTTATGTAGAAGAAATGTGTTTTTTTTGTTGTTGTTTTTTTAATTCGGAGCTTTCTAGCCTGAGAAAAGACAGAAAATGTATTTTTGGCTTATGCGGATGAAAGACAACAACTCCCAGAATGCACTTGCTTCACTGCCCTAGGAGGCCACGCCTACCGGTAACAGAGCGCAGTAAATAAACAACACGTCTAGGCTACTAGTGAGTCTCCATGATGCGACTGCAGCTGAATCCCGGTCATCGACGGCCGGACATGTCCGGGAAAAAGAGGATGGTAACCCTTACTACTCAGCTTTCTCCACAGAACAAGAGCCTGCTAGCTTAGCTTCCAAAAAAAGATGGCCGACACTATGTGTTCATTCCGTGAGTGAGATCACCCTCTATGGGCGGGTTGAGAACATGCGGGACAGACCCGACTACCGACTGTAGTTTTTAGCCTTTGGACAAAAAGTCCTCTGATGACACAAAATGACGATTTTTGCATCATCGGACGATTTTTTCCAGACAAAACCGACGTCTGTCTAACTCATAGCATGAAACGCACTGATGACGTGTGATGTCTGTGCGAGCGAGCAGGTGCGCAGAGGTATGGAAATACATCCACTGACAGGCAGGTAGGGTAATAAATATAAATGTAGACAATAAATTTACATATAAATACATTTAGCTTATTGATTGGTTTGTGAAGTGACTTTTAGCCCGCATAACAAAAAATGTTATCCCTGCCTTTAATAGTGCGGACAGTCTGCTTGAAAAGACGTGATTTGAGAGAAAAAATCCGATTTGCCTGCATTTTAAACAGCCTTAGTGTGATGGGAAGCATTAGGAAAGTTTAAAGTAGGGTTTCCAAGTGTGACCCCCGCTGAGGACTGAACTCTTGCCCTTCTCAGTTCCCTTTACTCACACAGACACGGCTCCAGTCAACCATGGGGATGTAGCATAGCAGCCCATCAACTCACAATCAACATGAAAACCACAGAATCACGCCATGCAACTAAACACAAAAAAATGTCCACACAACAACAGTTAGGTGCCATGGCAATTGGTCATCAATCTCTGAGAAAGTTTATATATATTTAAATCTAACATACTCTAATATATGAATCTAATAATCTATAAGTGAAAATTTAAAGTTTTATGCTATAAAGAAAAAAAATTATATAATTTGCAAAAAACATTGTTGAATTTATCACATTATATAATAGGTGATTGCCCTTTTGATAAATGTAATAAATAACAATAAAATAGAGGTTGAATATAAAATATTTTTTTTTGTAAAGAAATAAATACATTAAATTAATACAAATTAAAACAATGATTCTATAAAGTTAAAAATACTAGATATTTATATTTAAAATAATATAATATATATATGTAAAATTATATATGTACTAATATATAATGCAATATTTCTATATATATTTAAAATAAATTAAAATCCAAAATGAATGTTTGCATGTTTTTGTGGTGAAAATACTTGGTGTGAATATTCCTTTAAACTAAAATAGAATCTACAAACAGAATATTTAGTTACGTTTGGTACTATGGGTGGGGTCAAATGGGGACATTGCATAAATAATAAAGTGCATTATTGAATGCATTATTAAAAACTAATGACAATGGTGAATTTGACCCAGAAGCATTTGTATGAAATCCATTAGTACCATTATAGTAACAGTAGGGATCTCACATTTTAACCTACACATTCTGAAAAGACAAAGCCATGTTGATTCTTATTCTAAGACTTACAGGCAAGACTTATTTTTTTAGGCAAGCAATAGCCTACAAGATCCTCAAGCATATCTCAAGCTCAGTCAGTCGGTTGATTCAAGACAGGGTAGTTGTGTGGAAGGGGGGCTGGGATATCTCTCCTTATAGAGCTGTTTGGTTTTTAGTTGTTTAGCAGCATGGGGTAAAGAGCAACCCAGCAGTGATCTCTAACTGGAATAACAACTCTTTCTTTCTATCCCTCCACAGTCCGAACACCTCAGAGAGAGAAGGGCATTTGTCTACATGGGTCTCTTCAGCAGCTGTTGCACCTAATTGATAAACACCCTAAAGTGTTTCCACACTAAACTGAGAAAAAGAAACAACAGGGGTTTCCACACTTTTGAAAACAGCAGTGCAAAGGTAATTCAAAAGAGTCCCTCTCTGTACATTATCTAGTGATCATAGCAGCAGTTATTAATTATAGAGATGAACATAGTTCTAATCCATTAATTCATTTTATGGAATCAAGCGTTAAATAAAAAAAAAGAAAATGTGCAAATAGCCTAAACCACTAACTGGCACAATTAAGTCTTGGTGAAATTCCCCTCTTCCACACAAATCAGAGAACTACTCAAATGTGGTAAAAACGGGTCATCTCCAATGCCTCTGTTCCACAATGACACAAGTAAACAATTCCCAAAAACAATAGAGATGGTTTGTGGAGACCACTTGTCTACTGATTG